CATTCCAGCACACAGTAGGTGGCACACCTGTGGCAGGGATTAGGCGTGTGTTGCTTTCCATGCCGGACACTCATAAAAGAGGATAAAAAGAGACAGGAAATGGGAAATTTTCATTTTTATTTTCTCAGTTCACGAAGGCCTCAGAAAGGCTGTGCAGCAGATTCCTGGTAAAGCCGACACGCACATCAGCCCTCTGACCTTGCTACCCAGGATGACAGTGATGAGATCCGGCCCCAGGTTTAGCTGGTCAACCATTTAGCTACTTAATGGGACAGTGCAGTAGTAGAAACTGAAACAGGCGTCTCCCCATAGGGGCTACAGCAAGGTTCCTCTGCTGATGTCACTGAGATAACCATAGCAGCTGAGCACCCTGCTGACAGTCGGCTGACAGCACATTCCTTGCTAATCCCACATACCAACTTATCTCCCCCATGAAGTCTCTATGAGACGATCCTGCAGGAGAAACAGCTTTCCGTGAGACCCAGAACAAAGTTGCTGCAGTTGTATGGTTTGAAAATGTGCTGGTGAAAGAAACTTACAGAGGCATGGGAAACACTCTTCCCTCCCTTGGCACATCAGCAGTTCCCATAACTGCCCACAGCAGTTCTTCCTGCGGCCGCAGCCCTGACCTGGCCTTGAGTCACTTCCCAAGTCCACTCACATCCGCGTCTACAGTTGTCCAGGGTAGTTCTGTAGAAGACAGGCCAGGTTGAAAACAGAGAAGCCAGGATTTGCATAAAGTAGGATGGAGGGAAGAGAGAGATGGCCAACCCCCTAGGAAGTTGCCTGGACAGGGGGAGCATTGCCCTGGCTCCAAATCCCTGGTCCTGCTGGTTCTCAGACTGGGACAGGCTGCGTCAGTCTGAGCGTAGTGACAGAGGGGATCTCTTCTGTCTTGACATTGGTCTTCCCTAAAGCATGGGTGCTTTTCAGACAGTGTAGTCTGGAATCTTCCTTCTTGGGACTTCGTTTGACTTTAGCTCCCTGAGAGCACAGCATACACCAGTGATTGACTAAAGACAGGATGCTGAGCTCATGTCAGTGATGGAGAAGGCAGGAGGCAGGACCTCTGCATGAGACCAGGCTGTGGCTCTGGGGAGGGAGTATGGGGGGAGAATCACTTAAAGTGCCTGGTGTGTGAACTTGAGAGCCAGAATTCAATCCGCACCCTCTGAAAACCAGCTGTGGGTGCACACGTGTAAGCCCAGCATTGGGGAGACAGAAGCAGGCAGATCCCTGGGGCTTACCAGCTGAACTGGCAAATTCAGGTAAAATACTGACTCCAAAAGGAAATAAACTGGTAACCAAAGGAACAAAGTGGGGCCTGACTACTGGCACAAACGCACACGCGCTCACGTGTGCACGAGCACACACACACACACAGGCACACATACACACACACACATGCATACACATACAAACAGACATATATACAAACATTGACACACATGTATACACACACATACAGACACATGTACACACACACAAACATAGACACATACACATGCAAACATAGACACACATGTACATACACACACACGACTAGACTATTGAGGAGAAAAGCCATTTCTATTTCTGTTGCTGGCTTAAGGAACACATAGAATTCAACCCAGGCCTTGGCCGTAGCCTAATGTTTGGGGAGGGCAGTGTATGGGGTTTACCAAAGGCCATCTGTCTGTCCTTCTGTCCAGATTGGGGATAAGAGCTGCTCCAGCCACTCCAGCAGCAACACGCTGTCCAGCAACACCTCCAGCAACAGCGATGACAAGCACTTCGGGTCAGGGGACCTGATGGACCCCGAGCTACTGGGATTGACCTACATCAAAGGCGCGTCCACCGACAGTGGCATCGACACCACGCCGTGCATGCCAGCCACCATACTGGGCCCAGTGCATCTGACGGGCAGCAGGTCCCTGATCCACAGCCGGGCAGAGCAGTGGGCAGATGCTGCCGAAGTCTCGGGAGCTGATGATGAACCTGCCAAGATGTATACCCTGCATGGCTATGCCTCCGCCATCTCCAGCAGCGCCGCAGACGGAAGCGTGGGTGACCTCAGTGAAGTCTCTTCCCACTCCAGGTGAGCCAGCATGTGCCAGGCTGCACCTGCTCTGCCAGGCTGTCTGACCTCACGGAGAGTGCTCATCTCCTGAACTCTGGCATCAAGGTGTGCGTGTTTACTCTTGACCTGACAATTTTATTCTTCCTTTCAGTTAGAGGGTAACTAACATCCCTTGTCTCTCCCTGCTCAGCCTGTGACCCTGATATCTTTTGATAGAGAACTGTAAACTGGTTAATCTTCAGGGTCTGTCAGCCATGTCCATTCTGCAGGCCACCTGTGTCCCAGGTTAACTGTGAATACAATGTAACTCATTTGTACATTACGTCGTCTCACCGTGCCTGTCAGAAACAGTTGTAGACCCTGGAGGAGGGAAGTCATAGCAGCAGGCTCCTTGTGAGGGACTCACCTCACCCCTTGTGTAAGCTTTTGAGCATCATCACACCATCCCCGTCCCTGAAGCCCAATGGCAGGCCATGTACAGCTGCAGGTTTGTTTTGTGTCTGTGCAAGGATGTGTGCACATAGTCAGTTACCCTCAGAGACCGGAAAGGGAGCTGGACCCTCTCGAGCTGGAGTTATAGGCAGTTGTCATCCATCCAGTGTGGGTGTTGGGACCAAACTTGGGTCTTCTGGAAGGGCAGTAAACATTCCTAAATGTTGAACTGTCTTCCCAGCCCCCGATTCGGTTTTTTAAGTAAACATTAACTGACTAAGCCTGATGGTGCAGGACGGTAATCCCGTCTACTCAGGGGCTAATCAAGGCCGCCTGGGGCGCATTCTACCAAAAGGTCGGCTTGGGCCTGTTAGTGAGACCTGTCTCAAAATTAATTGGTTTGTTTGTGAAGTGACTCTGGGCTTTGGTGGATTCAACCTCCCGGTGTTGGGGGTCAGGGGGACCCAAATATAATGGAATTATATTCTAAATACAGATGTTAATGCACGTCTGTGCGTGGTTTTGTACTCCAAAAGCTGATAACTTCAGGTTTCTGAGTTCTCTTTGAAAGACTGAGAGAAGAAGCTCCTGTATCCGTGTGTCTCAGTGGGAGCCAATCAGAGGGTGTGGCTTCTACTCATGTTTGCTCCCTGTCCCTGGTCCTGTCCTTCCAGGGCCCTGGGTCACTCCCCAGCTTTCCAGAGCTTCTAGCCACAGAGCATGGCTGGACAAACCATAATGGGACAGTTCTTTGGGACCTAGAAGTCTGATAGGCATGTCCCCAAGGGGTGGTGCCTGCAGGCCCCTAATTTCTGGTGACAGGCCTCTGTTCCTAAGCAGTGGACACCATAGTTCTCCCTGGACTCCTCCTCTGCCCTTTCTTGGACATTACTGAAGGACAGTGCCTACCATGTGTTCTGAGTAATGACCAGTAGGGTAAAACCACATCCTCTCAGGTCATATCACCAAGGGGTCACTTTCTGTGCCACTTTAATTCATGTAACCCAGTAGGCCAAGTGACACTGCCCCACACCAGGTTCCCTGTCTTTATTTCCCTTGTGGCTTAAACTTATTGTCACCTGCTGGCTATGTTCATGGCCATCCCCAGGTGAGAAGGGGTTCTTCTCTAGTATCTACAGAAGGCACAGGTCTCCCCGAGAAGTCCCTGTACCAGTTAGGAAAGAAGGGTTTATTTTGGCTCGTGGTTTGAGAGATACAGTCTGTCGTGGGGGTGGGGAGGACATGATGGCAGAAGAACAAGGTCTACAGTGAGGAAGCAGAGATGGACGCTGGGGCTCAGCCCACTGTCTCCTCTTTATTCAGTCTGGGACCCAGTATGTGGGGTGCTGCTGGTCACGTTTAGAGTAGGTTTTCAACATATCTCAGATAGGCATACCTGTCACCTCAGAAATCGCAAATCTAGTCAAGTTGACAAAACTAACATCACACCCAGCATCCATATGCCTTCTCAACTGTCCTTGGCTTTAAACCACCGTGGCTGAGGTGGCACCGTTGAGGACAGCTAGGACCTCTGCTGAGTGTGGGCTGCTAAACTGTGGTGAGATAGCCACCATGCCAGGGAAGGGGATGGGAACCAGAGCTAGCTCCTGCTGACCAGGGCAGGGGAACAGAAGATGGGGCTGTGTGCCAAGGAGACATTCTGCAGCTTTTCACTAGTGCTGTTTAATAAAGTTCAGTGCGAGATAGCATTGTATTCAGAAATCACATGAATTCTAGTTCCTGGAGGATTCCCACCCTCTCCACGATTTGATAAAGTTGGCCATTCTGTAAAAGCCACCTTGGAGTCTTGTAGCACTGTAGCATCTTTTCAAAGTTCAGGCCACTTGTAAGAGACCTGGTGTCAAGAGTCAGAGTACCGTAGGGATTCGTGGAATCTGTCTCGGGGAGTTTCGTGTTACCGCTAAGTGGAAACTGCCCAGTGTTCTTGGGCACTTGCCTTCGGTGCACACCCTTCATTAGGTAGAGGAAGGGTGTTCAGGGGGATTTCTACAGCAGCTGTTTATTAATTTGACAGGTTAGGGGATTAGAAGTCCATGAGGAGATGACCTGAAGTGCCTCTTTGGCCTAGGGTTTTTATACTTATGAGATGGAAGTGTGGGCAGCTGAGTTGGAATTTTAGGCATCGAGTGAGTGACCTGCCACTTGCCTGCCTTTTGCTGTAGCATTCCCCCAGTTGTATTTCTTAGCTTGTTCCTGCTACAAGAGAGCCCACATCTGAGCATGGCGAGCCTCTAGACAGGGAGGCAAGCTATGTGGTAGAGAGGTCACCTGCCTTCTCAGCCCGGTGGCCAGGGACCACAAGTCAATGCTGCGTCTAATAGTGACACTGCCCTTGGCTGTCCCCACAGTGGCTCTCACCATTCAGGAAGCCCCTCCACTCACTGCTCCAAAAGCACTGGGTCTCTGGACAGCTCCAAAGTCTACATCGTCACTCACAGCAGCGGACAGCAGGTACCTGGGGCTGTGGCAAAGCCTTACCACAGACAAGGAGCAGCAAACAAGTACGTCATTGGCTGGAAAAAGTCAGAAGGCAGCCCACCACCCGAGGAACCTGAAGTGACTGAATGCCCCAGGTAAGTGGCTTCTGTCATATCTGTAACCGTATTCATTGTATACTCTACCATGTCTGTCTGTCCATCTGTCTGTCCCCTAGTTAGGGTTATTGTTGCTGTGACAAAATACCATGACCAAGCAAGTTGGGGAGGAAAAGGGTTTATTTGGCTTATACTTCCACATCACTGTTCATCACTGAAGGAAGTCAGGACTGAAACTCACACAGGGCAGGAGCCTGGAGGCAGGAGCTGATGCAGAGGCCATGGAGGAGTGCTGCTTACTGGACTATTTCCCCTGGCTTGCTCAGCCTGGTTTCTTATAGGACCCAGGACTACCAGCCCAAGGGCAGCACCACCTGCAGGGCTGGGCCTGCCCCATTGATCACTAATAAGAAAAAATGTCTTATGCCTGATCTCATGGAGGCATTTCCTCAGTCAAGGCTCCTTTCTCTCAGATGACTATAGCTTGTGTCAAGTTGACATAAAACCAACCAGCACAGAGCACGCAGCCATGTGAGTCCAGAGGACCACCTCTGATGAGCCCCTTCAGGTGTTGCTGCTTCTTTGAGATAAGGCCTGTCACTGACCTGGAACTCACGGGCAGGTGAGGCTTGCCAGCCCTTGGGTCCCAGTGACCCTCCTGTCTCCACCTGCCCAACACTGAGGTGTCAAGTGCAGACCACCATGCTCAGCTGTTTACCTGGGTGCTGGGGATGGAACTCAAGTCTCTGTGCTTGCAAGGCCAGCATTTGACCCACCAGGCTGTCTCTGTTCCTGGCCTCTGCTTTAAACTCTTTAAATGTTGGGGTTTATGTTTCCTTCTTTAAAGTCTTCACTTTATTCTGATGATGGTGATGATGGTGGTGGAGGTGGTGATGTTGATGGCGGTGGGTGTGCTAGTGTTGGTGATGATGATGGAGGTGGTGGTGCTTATGATGATGTGTGGCGTTCATTCCCTCATTCCACCACGGGGATTCTGGAATTGAGCTCCGCTCGTCAGGCTTGAACTTGGAGAAGGCAAGCCCTTCACCTGCTAAGCCTTCTCTCTAGCCCTTGGCTTTTAAATGTAGCAGAGTGTAAAGTTCCGCTGTCTTTGACCTATATCCAGAAGGCCGGCTGCGGTGGAGTCATGGTGACAGCTGGTGGTGGTGCACAGACTCCATGGTGTCTCAAGGCCAAGAGCACGAGCAACCCCGCAGTCAGAGAACATAAAAGCAAAAACACTTCACCGGGTTGTTTAGTGGGACTCTTGAGGTTTGATGGGCAGGGGTGTGTGCGTGTGTGTGTGTGTGTGTGTGTGTGTGTGTGTGTGTGTGTGTCAGGGCGGGGGGAATACCCATGCTTGCAGAAAAAAGGAGGAAAAACAGAAGGTTTGGTATTGTTCAGAGAAGCCCAGGAAACCCTGCACAGTAGTCTGGATCATGTGCTCTGCAGTGGAGCATGCCATGGTGCAGGTGTGGGCCGCATGTGCCTGTGGGTGCACGGCTTACGGGAGAGTGCGCGGACTCTTGAAGGTTAGGGGGTGGTGGCCTTACTTTAAAGTTGTAGTGTTTTCTTCCTGGGCTTTGGGGATCTAAGGTGTCTCTGAATTACTCAGAGACCTAACTGTATTTAAGTGCATTGCACAGATGTGAGATGCTGTGGGGATGGCGTACACACAACCACAGTGAACTGCCGCAGCTGAGAATTGTGGGCCTCCACACAGTGGATTGGCCGTGCGTGCGTGCGTGCGTGCGTGCATGCGTGTGTGTGTAGGCCAGAGAATAACCTTGACTAATGTGCCTTGGGCTCTACCCATTGTGATTTTGGAGATGGTATCTGTCACTGGCCTAGAGCTTGCAAAGGCTAGACAGCCTGAACAGTGAGCTCAAGAATCTGCTTGTCTCTGTCTCTCCAGTGCCACGCAGACCAACCTGACTTTTTAAATCTGGGTTCTGGGAGGTTGAATTCAAGTCTCCTTGCTAACTGAACTGTCCCCTCAGCTTCAGATGCCTCCTGGACTTTCATCTAGCCGCCAAGGGGCAGCTTATAGGCAGCTGCAGCTCCTTTGAACCTGTGTTCTGGTTTATTCTATCAGGATGTATAGCGAGATGGACATCATGTCCACAGCCACTCAGCATCCGGCAGTGGTGGGAGACTCTGTTTCGGAAACTCAACACGTCTTATCCAAAGATGACTTTCTGAAGTTGATGCTGCCTGACAGCCCCTTAGTGGAGGAGGGGAGACGGAAGGTGAGTGACCATGAGGGCTTTGGTGCAACTCTGGGTGCTCATGTGCTCCCCACAACCCTTCTTGTGGTCCCACCAACAGCCCAGTGTAGAGTGGCCATTGTTACTGTCACAGATGTCAGGGTTTGGTTTGTTTATAGTACTGAGGATGGAAGCCCAGGGCCTTGCACATTCTAGGCTAGAGCTGCAGCCCAACTATGTCCTTTGTCACTACCAGTTCCTTCAGAAGACAAAGAACTGAGGAGGCTGGGATGGGGGCTGTTGTATCCTTGGAGTTGTTCTGAGCACCAGGCAGGCTCCCTCAGATCTTGCCTCCAGCAGTGACCTGTTAGATGATCAAGGAGGTCCTCGTGTGCTGATGTGATAAAGACCATGGCAGTAAGTGTCCTTCGAGGTCAGGGCTATGCCAGGAAGTGACACACAGGAGGCTAGCATGGTACCTAGACACAGCTGGCCATCAGATCTCAGCCAGTGAAGTCACACTGCTTACCTCACTGGTGCCTCCACCCGTGCCCGGCCCAGGTCATCCTGGCCGGCTGTGTGCTCCAGAAATGGTTACAACCCCATCTATCAATCAAGCTTTGCATTCTGCCACACAGGGCTGCAGCTCTTGGCGACAGCCCTCAGCAGGGACTTCTCGGGAGGAATTCACATCTTTGCTTTGCTCCCCCCAAGTTCTCCCCAAGTCATTTCTACACAGTGTACAGCAGGAGCTGCTAAGCCTGATGACCTGAGTTCTGGAGGCCGGCTGCCCTCCACCAGTGTACCGTGGCTGTGTGTGCCCCATACGTATGATGAGTGTGACAAAGCAGTGTTTAAAATAGTGGAGAGTAATTAAAAGATCCTAAATAAGTTGGGCCAATCACTTCTTTTTCAAGTAACTGAAACTCTGGTAGCAGACTGTGGCGCACACACTAGTATTTGGTTCTAGAACAGAACCCCTGTCACATTTATAACCCAGGCTCCTATGGTTCCCTGGGAAAGTGAGGCATTGCCTGGTATGGCTGTGAGCATCAGTCTGCGCATCTTACTACAGAGAGCCGTCTAGTGTTCCGGGAGCAGCGTCCCATCAGACACTGTACCTGTCCCTGTCCACTGTGATCTGAGCACTGGCACTCAGCTCTAAAGAACTTGCTGGGGCTTGAACCGGGAATCCTGCCAGAATGTCTCACAAGGAGCCTTTTTCTCAAAGCTTGTATCAGATCCCAGTTAAGGAACTGTGTGCTTGGGTTCAAAGGCAGATGACTCCACAGTAAGCATCATCTCAGAATGGCTGAACTTGTGCTTGGCGTGTGTGTTTTCTTCAAAGGCAAATTGCTTGCCCAGTACCAGTGAGCTTTGTAGCTCACACACACACTTCTTGTATTCTTCACTGGAAAGGCTGAACAGAATAGGTAGAACATGGGCAATAGCAGGGTCTCTGGCCTCCTTGCCACATCCAGAAATGTTAATGGCCGCTTCTGTGTGTGTTAGAAATAGTATTGGTGTGAGACAATTGTGTTTCAGTCCCCAGGAAGTGCTGCAGGTTCAGTTGGTTGTGACCACTCTTGGTTGGAATGGTCTTGCTGTATCTGAGATGTAACACAGTGATGTTAGTGCTTTCCTTCTAGCTGGTTGTCCTACTTTCACGTCTCTTGCTGTTATTTAAAAAAAAAAAAATTAAGAGAAGGGGAGTTATTTGATCTTGCAGTTTCAGCTTACAGTCCATAAATGTGTGGAAAGCAAGGCAGGATGCTCAAACAGCTGGTTTACAGCATGCCCACAGACAAGAACAGAGAGAAGTGGGTGGGTATGTGCTTGCTTGCCTGTGCTCAGCTCTGTTTCTCCACTCTACTGCACACAGTTCAGGAGTCCATGCCTAGGGAATGGTACCACCCACAGGGGGCTGAGCCATCCCACATCACTTAGCATAAGACAACCTCCGCATACATGCCACGGACTAACCCAAAGAAGACATTTAAGACACTCTTCCCAGGTGGTCTTAGAGTTATGTCAGTTGACAAAGCTAACCCTCCAAATGGTTTTATCCCATTAACTATAATTCAGTTTCCAGAAGTTATACAGACTTTTGCAAGTGGTAATTCTTGAGTGGACAGAAGAATTTACTGGATTTAAATTACTTCTCTTGAGCACATTTATATGACTCTGGAAATGTCAGCGTTCAGAATTAGTTTGTTATTTAGACTCAGTTGGACCTCCCTGCTGTCAATTGGTGACTATTAAAATGTAGTCATTTCTAATCACTGTCAGTCCACAGCGTGTACTTCTGTGAACATCAGTTACCTGAATGACGACCTTGTGTATTCCCAGGAGCACTGGAACTCTCTTCAGTTCCATTGAACCTGTCTAATCTGTACTAGTATTTCACAGAATGTCAGAGGAGGGAACTCTGAAATCCAGGCATGCTCCAGGAGCCTTTCTGTATGCTTGACTTTCCTGAACTAGCAGAAAATTCAAGGAAGCCATAGCACAGGCAGACAACTCTAACTGTGGGTGTTTGATTTGGTTTTGAGATGGTCTTGATATGGTAGCCAAGACTGGCCTTTACCTGCCATTTAACCCTTGAACTCTCAGCAGTCCCCCTGCCTCAGCTTCCCACATATTTGGGATTACAGGTGGGCAGCACTACTCCTCAGATCTTCACATTGTCAACGTTCCTGCCTTTATGACCCCTAGTTTTCTTCACATTGTCAACGTTCCTGCCTTTATGACCCCTAGTCTTCTTCACATTGTCAATGTTCCTGTCTTTATGACCCCCTAGTTTCCCTTCTATGGGAACCTGTCTCCGCGGAGGTCACTGTACCGAACATTGTCCGATGAGAGCGTGTGCAGCAACCGGAGGGGCTCTTCCTTCGCCAGCTCTCGAAGCTCCATCCTGGACCAGGCCCTGCCCAACGACATTCTGTTCAGCACGACTCCACCCTACCACAGTACGCTGCCTCCAAGAACCCACCCTGCACCCAGCATGGGGAGCTTACGGAGTAAGTGAGGGCTGCATGGAAAGACTCATGGGGAACCTGTGGTTTCATGTGGTCCTTGGATTGGATCCAGGTATACATGTGGGATGTGATGTCAATTGTTTGCCACCATTTCTTTCTCTCCTAAGTCGTTTCCAAGTAGCAGACTTCAAGGTAGTTTACAGTAGACATTATTGTCAAATACTGTTTTACGTTATTCTGGAGGAAGTGATGTATAGAGTCTGTAACCTTTTCAAAGAGGAACAGTGGCGTAGAGTAGTTTTCAGGTTGTGCCAAGCAGTCCATCCTCCTCTTCATGGTTCTGGCAGCATGTGGTAGCACATGGTAGCAGGTGGGTGTTGGGAGACCCACCTGCAGCTTTATGGACCATCTGCATGTCACCTGTGTCCTTGTGTCCCAGCTGACACCACGTCATGGTCACAGGTCATCCTGAGTGCCAGATCAAATTTTAAAACTATAAATGTTAGTGTCCTGTATATCTGTGTGCACACAGAAAGAGAGACAGAGACAGAGAGACAGAGCGGGGGATCACACATATTTATAGAGTCAGGGTCTCTCACTGAACCTTGGGTTTGCCATCTCAGCTAGACTGGCTGCCCACCAGTTCTCTGGGATCTACTTGTCTCCCCTGCTAGCACTGTGGTTACAGGCATGCACCAGCACGCTTGGTTTTATTCGTGGTACTGGGTTCCCCAGCTCAGGTCCTCAGGTTTGCACAGCAAGCGTTTACCCATGGAGCCATCTCGGCAGCCGAAGTGTCTTAGTTTCTATGCCCCGCCTCCATTCTTGTTGCACAGAGAGGATGGCAGTTGAACTATAAATTTATATTCAGGTTGTTTTTTAAACTTCATCATAAAAAGAACCTTCTTTAGAACCAAATTAATTTTTCACTGTCTATAAACATCCCAGGCTATCTGACATAAGGCTTCTAGTAATGTTTAACAAGCGGGCTGAACCGCATCTTGTCCCGTGCTTCGTGTAGAGCATGGTATCCTGCCGGTCATAAAGCCTCTGCATTTCTCAGTAGCAAGACAGACGTTCAGACAGACACATCTGTGTTCCCCGAGTTCTGTCAAGTGTTGTTGAACCTCCACCCCCACCCCCCATTGCCTCTTTCAAGACACAGTCTCCTGTAGCTCAGGATGGCCACTGTCTCCTGAGAGCTTTTGTGAATCTCCTGAAGTTCTGTTTATGCTCTTGTTATTTTTCCTTTTCCTACAGTCAAGTATGACTAACCCTTGGGTTCTGTGTAGCCAGGGTTTCCATTCAGCCCTTCTTTTGTTCCCCTGTGAGAGACATGGTGTCTTAGCTTCAGTGTCTTAAAGTAAATAGTGGTGGTGGTGGTGATAAACTCCACTTCTTAGGTTTTAGGTTCTTACACAGACTGAGCAGAAAATACTATAATTTTCATGTGTTCCCTGCTCCTGGGAGACTCCCTTCCTAAGTGTGAGGTCCTCCATGCTGACCCCACCCGAAGTAATATAGCATGTTGGTTACAGTGGAGTCCAGTGATGCAGTGTTGCCGTCCAGGCCCACAGTCCCTGCTTATGGTTCCACACTGTGCATGTCTGACAGACAGTTGGTAACACAGGTCTATACAGACGGTAACAGGTCTGACAGACGGGTGATAACATGGGTCTGACAGACGGTAACACAGGTCTGCCTCCACAGTGTTGTACAGAGCAGTCTCACTGCCCTAAAAAGCTAGTTTCCTGAATTTCCCTCCTACCCTCCACCTGTGTGAGCCCTGGTCTCTGCTGGTCCCATGTTTCTGCGATGCTTGGTAGCTGGAACATGTGGTCCTCATGCTACCTTTCCTAGTAGCAGCATCTGAGGTAGCTCTAAGCCTTTCTCACCTCTGAATCCTTCCGGAACTGTCCACAGCCTAAGGAGGAAAGAAGCAGAAGCCCTCTGCCCCTGTGGCTCCTCTCAGGGCCCTTGCTCTTGGGTGCACTCCCTTACTTGGCAGTGTGCCTCCCGGAGCCTGACACTGCTCAGATGCTGCTCTGGGATAAAAGGTGGGAACTGAAATATGTAACTGTATGTAAATAAGAAACCTTGAAATAACACATAGTGACTTACCTCCCCGACAAAACTTCTGAGTCCCTTCCCACTGCGTGCCTATGAACCTTAAGCATCACGGATCCAGTTGGAGGATGCTGGGTCCTAGTCCATGACCACCTCAGAAACATGACAGTTTCCATCTGTCCTCCCAGATCCATTCCCCCTGTGCCCTCCTGGTTGTTCCACAGATGCCCCAAGGGGACACGACCCTCTGAGAATGTGGCCGCAGACTGAGTTGCTGCAGTGTAAACTCTGATCCTCAAGAGCAAATGCCTGGGAATACTTCTGAAAGAGACCTAAACACTGTGTCACATGAAGACTTGGAGTGTCTTTGTGATGATGTCTTTGGGAGACAACCTTGTCACCTATGAAACTCACATTCAAGAGCCGTATGGCTGCTGTCAATGGTGGCCCCTCAGCGTTTATAACAATACCAATACAGTCAGACAGTCAGACAGTCAGGACAGTGGAGAGATGCTAGGAATCCCCAAGACTGGTGTCCAGACACGGAAAGTATGTCGGGTGGGGGGCAGCAGGGCCTACATACTAGCCACGCCTCAAAATCTAGGTTCTCGTGCAATACAGGCAGGGATGGTCAAGCAGAGAGATTGCCAGATTCTGTCCAGGGTACACTGAACGTTGTCCACTCGTACCCTTAAATGCGTTCAGGCCAGCCATGCCCCTTGGTTCTCACCTCCTCAGGGCCCCCAGAAAGTTACCATTTTGTGTATCTGTCTTCTAAGTGCATCATCTTTCCTGACCTGAACATTAGGTAGCATAGGCCTTCTTGGCTCTGTGCAGCCCCAGATGCTATCCTAAGAGTCAGTTGCGTGTTGCCATATGCTCTATGACTGTGCCCAGGGAGCTGGTGGCCAGGGAGCTAGTCAGTGCTGTCACCAGCTGGTCACTTTCTTCCTGAGTCTCCTGAGGCGCCCCAAGCCTTTAGAGAGTTAAATTGGAAAGGGTAGCTGTGGGTAGCCATGGCAAGGGAGTCTTTTCTAGAAGCCCTCAAGCCTGGAGAACAGAACAAGACCTGTGTGTGACATCACAGGAGAGTGATGTCTCCTCCTTCCTACCAGACTGTGGACAGTGTTCATCTGCCAGTGCTGGCTCCACATGGGTTCTTGCTCTGTCATAGTGACTGCACCTGCTGGCTTCCCAATGTAGAGTCCAGTAACGCTGACAGAGGTGTTCATGTCAGTTAAAGACATGTAACAGACTTGCTGGTTTGAAACTTTGGACAAAAAATTAATTTTAAAAGGCAGATCTTATTCCTAATTACCTCATTTCCACTTAGTGGAAGAAAAAAAAAACTAAGTGTGCCTGATTTTGATTATTGAAAAAGGCACATGTGCCTCCTGGGTTGTCTGAGAGACAGCCACAGCCTGAGGCTTTCCCTGCTCAGGTCAAGCCTCAGGCAGAGGTTCAAATCTACCCACACTCAGCCCTAGCTTTTATGCCAGTAGTGTGTCAGGCACCTGCCAGCTCCCCCTTGTCACTGGGATCTCAGGCAAATATCACCTCCTTAGACAGGACTCTGTCCCACAGCACATCACCTAGCCTGTCTTCTGCAGGAGGCCCGTCTGTCTGTCTCCTAGTGACAGAGCCTCAGAGCTGAACCCCAGCTGTGTCTCAGCTGTTTCTCTCCCATGATAAGATGGAGCAGTCACAGTCTAAAGACATCACAGGAGGCTCTAGCTGCCGGGGAGAGACTTCTCACGGCTCCTCTCCCTCCACTGCTCAGTGTCAAGTCTGCAAAGCCCCTCACAGTGGAAGGGACACTGACACCGAGCAGTTTTCCTGCTGCATTCCACCCTTGCTGCCTGTGTGTCTGAAAGCTGGAGGAGGTGAGGGTGTCTGCTCTTGTCTCTGGTTATGCAGGACACTTCCCAAGTTCTCAGTGCCACTTAGCGGGGACTGCCCTGGTGTGCTCCTGTGAGCAGACTCCAGGGCTGGCAAGGTATACCTGTCTGCATACACTCACATCGGCCCCTCTGCTCCAACCTTTTTATCTGTGCCTCGCCTCAGAAACAGAGCTTGACTTATTTAGCCCAAGCCTGCCAACTGATTGTTTCGTTGAGTGGCTGAGGGAGTGGTTTTTCCACAGGAGAATGTTAACTGCATCCCACCTTCTGAATTAGAACCAGCCACTGTCCCTTCCCTTCCCATATAGGCTTCCATCCCTCCTTTGTCATGCCAGCCAGCCACTGTCCTCACTCTACTGACACCAGCCCCTGTCTTTCTCTCCCTAGCACTGGCCACTGTACCTCCATTGTACCTCAGAGGAGGGACCCAGAAATCATGAGTGCTCTCTCCCAGCTCCTGCTCCACCCTTACTGCTGGGTTAACTCTTGACAGGGGCAGAGCATGAGCATGAGCTGCTGCTAGTGCCCTGAGGTACAGGGATGGGCTCCACAGTATTCCCTCCCAGGAGAGACTGGGAGCACACTGGCAGGTGTCACCACATCTCAGCATGGTCTCCTGGAAACAGCCCTGTCTGATTGGTGTCACTGTCACTGTCACTGTGAGAGGTCTGCTCAGGCTACAGTTGTGGAGTGGGAGCAGACTGTGGGTGTCCTTCAAGGCCACCTGTGCAAATGCTGCCTGTCCCATTCCAGATGCCAGCACCTCACAGCGCCCCAGAAGGATGGAGGCGCAGAAATCACAGGTGCATTTGGTTAATTACGCCCCTGAACTTAATTGCAGGTTCAGCTAGCCAGGTGGCCATTACTTTGATTGGTCTCATTAGTGATGCAGCCACAAGCAGCTGCATGTAATGCTCTGGGCAGGTTCAGAAAAGGCACTTTGAGAGTGTCCGGTCAGGCCCTTTCAGAATTTATTCTCAGATGCATAACGAGTTCTTAACAATGAGTGTTATTAATGACCTAAGCGCTTACAGAGAAAAGGGATGCTGGGAAAACACAAGGATGAAGGAGAACTGTATTTCAGGAAGCGAGGGAGGGATGGAGGCTTCTGGTGAGACAGCGGTAGGCCTGTCCTGTGGAATCAGGAAAGTAGGCCAGCAGCCACTTCTGTGCACAGGTCACGAGGAGACTTCCTTTCTCTTTCCAGTCTGTTAATTGAAGCAGCCTCACTGCAATGGGTGAGAAGAGGCTCTTGCTCTGTCTGAGATGTTTACCATTCAGCTTTGCAAACCTTGTTCCTCAGACTGTAAATCATCAGGAAAGAGATGGCTGCCAGCTGTCTCAAGGCAGCGTAAGGCTGCGACACTTTTTAAAGGGGAACAGCTACCCTGAGGAAAACGGGAGCTTATCTCAGGTCACTCAGACTTCAGTACTTCCAGAAAGCTTCTACAAGAGAGTGGATCCCCACGAGGCTCCATGCTGACCCCCCTGCTTGTTCTCTAGCACCTAGTTGGTCTACTTACGACAAAGCTCTGTCTCTTCTGGGTGATAGCATCTCAATTGTCCCTGTTTTACCAAGTCATGTTTTATACAGTTTCCTGGGCTACTTTGTGAGAGCGGATGGTGTATCTGTGCTGTAACCCACTCTGGGGACCGTGGTGTTCACGCCATGACTGAGTCGGGACATGCTTTCCATGCTGACTGACTCTGACCCTGGGTGGATCAGCAGTGCTGGTGCTGTGACTAACTGACCCTCTGGGGATGATGGTGCTTATTCAGGGACTGACGGACTAAAGGATCACAGACTAACAGGCTCTGCATAGGGACCAATGGTATTCAGGCTGTGACCAGCTGATTGTGACAGTGGTAGTACCCATACTCTGACTGGCTGACTGGCTGTAAGGACAGTGACTAATGGCATGTTAGGTTGACTGACTCCAGATAGGGACTGTGGTGCTTATGTGGGACTGACTGTGTGCAAAAGGTGCAGCAGAGCTGTGACCTACTAACTGGGTCACAGTGCTCATGCTGTAACAGACCATGAAGACAGTGACTGACGGATTGAGAGACCAGCTGTCTTTGTGGGGGACTGTGCTGCTCATATCACTGTACATGTGGGACCTAAGGACCCATGCTGTGACTCACTCTCTTTGAGAGCAGTGGTACCCGTGTTCTGACTGACTAACTAATAGACTGTCAGACTCTGGGTCAGTGGCACCCATTCTGTGACTCTAAGTGGAGACAGGCTGACTGACTTACACTCTGATTTTGTTTCTACTTAGATGAGTTCTGGTTCTCCGACGGGTCCTTATCAGACAAGTCCAAGTGTGCAGATCCTGGCCTGATGCCACTGCCAGACACAGCTGCAGGGTTAGACTGGTCCCACCTCGTGGACGCTGCGCGAGCATTTGAAGGTAAAGATTCACCCACACGCAGGGTCCTTCTGTGTCCCCAGGGAGCTCCTGCAGGGCCTGTGCTGCAGCTTAGGAACGCGTCTGTGTATTGGATCATCTGGCAAATGCTGAATGCTCTGCCCGTCTTTGAAGATGACAGGAGGGGAAGCATCTAGAGGTGGCCAGTCACTTGCTAAGTACTTGGCAGGGGTCTGAATGCCTAAATTCTGCTCCATGCACCAACTGCCACCTGACCCACACCCTCTTTTCCTCCTTAGCTCCGTTTCCCTGTGGGAAAAGTAAGCATGCTTGACTAGCTCATACTGTCTCTGTCCTTGAAGCACAAGGTGACATGGGAGGGAACCCAGTAGAGGCCAGAGCTTCCGAGTTTAACGCAGATGACTCCAGCAGGATTGTTTGCCCCTTTCAGGTCTCTCTGTCTGTGTGGGTCTTGGCTCCTTCTAAGCCTGTGGTCAGTGGGCCACCGTGGGTCAGTTGAGCCTGTGGTCAGTGGGCCGCCGTGGGTCAGTTGAGCCTGTGGTCAGTGGGCCGCTGTGGGTCAGTTGAGCCTGTGGTCAGTGGGCCGCCATGGGTCAGTTGAGTTCTGAAGAGTCCTCCAGCTGCCGTGCTGCTTTTGGTCACCATTGATGCTGTGACTGTCCAGTTGAAGCTGCCACCTGGGGAACATCCTTCTCCTTTTTGGGAACTGTCCACAAAGTAGATGAAGAACCTGCTTCCCTCTATCTATCTGTCTGTCTGTCTGTCTGTCTGTCTGTCTATCTATCCATCCATCTACCTACCTACCTATCATCTATTCATCTACCTATCTATCTATCTATAACAAGAGGAGGGAAAAAGAAAGAACCTACTTCCCAAGATTTGGCCTAGTGGGATGTGGGGGGGGCCACAGCTCTTGGGAATTTTGCCATTGCTCACTTGTCTCACTTTCTCAAGACTGTGACCAAAACCTGACAAGCAGTGGCTTGTAAGAGGACAAACCTCCTTTAGCTTGTGGTTTGAGAAGGACCCTTAATGACGTGGTGGTGGGCAGGCCTTGTCTGGGGAGTGGGCAGTGGGTGTTAGTTAATTAGTTAGTTAGTGGGTCACATCTCAGTGGACCAGGAAGTAGGCCCAGCTATAATGACCTAGCTCTCAAGTTTCTACAACTTCCCAAAGCACCATCCACAGCTGGGGACAAGTACTCAAACACACTAGCCCACAGGGACATCTTACACACTAGCCCACAGGGACATTTTACCCACTAATCTACAGAGACACCTCAGATACACTAGCCCATGGGGACATCTTAGACACTAGCCCATGGGGACATCTCAGACACTAGCCCATGGGGACATCTCAGACACTAGCCCATGGGGACATCTCAGACATACTAGCCCATGGGGACATCTCAGACATACTAGCCCATGGGAACATCATACACACTAGCCCATGGGGACATCTCAGACACACTAGCCCATGGGGACATCTTACACACTAGTCCATGGGAACATCTTACACACTAGCCCATGGGGACATCTCAGACACT